AACTTCAGGTTGCACAGCATTTCATGGGGATTCAACATGACTACTGGATAAACTTCAGGTTGCACAGCATTTCATGGGGATTCAACATGACTACTGGATAAACTTCAGGTTGCACAGCATTTCACGGGGATTCAACATAACTACTGGATAAACTTCAGGTTGCACAGCATTTCACGGGGATTCAACATGACTACTGGATAAACTTCAGGTTGCACAGCATTTCACGGGGATTCAACATAATTACTGGATAAACTTCAGGTTTCACAGCATTTCACGGGGATTCAACATAACTACTGGATAAACTTCAGGTTTCACAGCAGTTCATGGGGATTCAACATGACTACTGGATAAACTTATGGCTCAAATGATAAAGACTAACTAAAACGCTATAGTTACGCACTCTTTAAATAAATCTAATTTTACAAATTTAAACTTCGACCTGGCACAGTCTGGTGGTTACAGCGCTCGATTTGCAACCTGTGGATCGCAGGCTTGAATCCCGCCATTGCAAAATATCATCCTTTCAACCGCGGGTCCTTACAACGTGACGGTTAATCCCATTTTACGTTGGTGACAGAGTAGCCTAAAAGTTTGTGGTGGGTGATATTGACTAGCTCTCTTCCCTCTAGTTTGTTACTTCTAAATTAGGGACGGCTAGCGCAGATAGCCTTCGAATAGCTTTGCGCGAAGTTCAACAAAGAAACCTCTTTAAAACCAAATAATTTTTAGTTAATTTATTGGCACAAGAGGATCCCTCTCTACAAGTAATTGCTAGAGATGTTCATCAAACTCTTGTGAACGTTAATTAACTCACCATCTTTGTCGTAATGACTCCAGACTTCCATAAATTGGGCTGCGGACAAGTTCTTTATTTCTCTCGTGTTTTTGTCTCGGAACTGTCTCATGAAGTTCCCCCCAAGTTTCCATTTTCCAGGCGCGTCCATTGCTATGATACAGCCTCGACTTATACAGAAGCTAGCTACAGGTAGAAATTACTCACTAACTTTGTTGCTCGATTATACTGAGCAGACTATACGTAACCAAAACGGATTTCCTCGTCACGAGGAATGCTGCTACTCTACTGCGCATGCACCCATATCGACCACAGTTGACGACAACAGCCGAAAAAACGTCTCTGGAGTGACGGGCTATGTACCCAGTGTTTGTGGCTCGAGTCCCCTTGTCGAAAAATCAAAACAAAAAATTTTACACTTTGGGCCATGGGTGTGTTATAAGAGTGACAGTCAAATCCATCTATTTGTTAGTGTAGCCCAATAGTTGTCGGTTGGTGCCTTTGAAAAGCTGCTTTCCCGCTGTTCTATCACTTATGGCCGGCTAGTGCAAATCAACCGTTAGGTAGCTTTGGGCAAATATCTAAAACAAACAAACAATAGGGCCAGATAGTGCAAGTCAACCGTTGGGTAGCTTTGGGCAAATATCTAAAACAAAGAAACAAATAGTCTCTTTCTGTTAGATATACCTGGCTTATCTTAAGTTTTAACTTATTATGACAAGAAATTCATTCTTTGTTTGACAAGCTAACGAAAGATGTAATGTTTTGTAAAAAACGAGTAAATTTAATCTTGAAATTAAATCAAGTTTCGTAGGAGGAGCAAGGAATAAGAAAGTAGTACAATTAGCCAATAAAGAAATGAAAAGTGTGTGTCTTTAGAAAAGCTAAAAATTAAAAAAAAGAGAGAATACATTAACAAGAAGCATAACGCGAATGTTACGCAGCACATCTAAATCTTAGATGAAATATAATTAACATTAAATTCATAAGAGTGAGGAAAAACATCTCAGCCAAAATACAGACATCCAACACCGAGGCACAAATCATAAGGTGGGTCTTTATGTAATGTGCCCTGGTTTTTAGAGGTATTGGCAGAAGTAAGACCAAAATTGCGTGTGGGGGTACACAGTCTATCAAGTTAACCTCAATTTCGCCGACCTCACATGAGTAATAATAAAGAAAACAAACTGAGCAGATGTGAGTACTCTAGCCCAAAATCCCACATCTTTACCACCTTTCACTGTCTGCAGCCACAAGATAAAAATCAAATTAAAAAATAACGAAATCAATAATAGAATACATTAAATCAATGGGGAAGACAGCAAAACTACCACTACATTAATATACCTAAAGAGATCCACACAGTAGCAGGTCTTATATAGGGAAGGTGATATAACTACCACTACATTAATCTACCTAAAGAGATACACACAGTAGCAGGTCTTATATAGGGAAGGTGATATAACTACCACTACATTAATCTACCTAAAGATATCCACACAGTAGCAGGTTTTATACAGGGAAGGTGATATAACTATCACTACATTGATCTACCTATACAAGATATCAAATGTCCAATGTGTGATTCCAATTATTTCCCCTAAGATAAATTTTATAAATTATTTTTATTGAGCATATTATTATTTTGTTTAAATCACTATTTTCAAATTTGTATAAATATTTTCTAAATTTGTTACAAAATAATTTAATTAAATGTACTATTATATTGAAATTTGATGTTAAGACCTGTACATTACTAGAAATTCTACAATACCTTAGAAGCTGTGAGTGTATAATGCTGTGTATGGCATTTTTGGTACATCATTGTTTGCAGAGGGAAGTCCAAAAATTTGAAATGTAAAATTATTTCTTTTGTCATAAATATTAATATTTACAACAGTTATTAATTATCTTAATGTTTAAATCTAAACTGATTTTAAAGGGACATAACATAATGACCCATCTTATGATTGATGTTGGATGTTTGTATTGTGGCTGCAATTTTGTTCTTCTCTCTCTTTCATGAATTTACATTTAAATATACATACACACATAACTCAACATATCTTTACACTGCCCGAACTAATGTTGTGACCCTGAGAATATGGAACAGATGAAAGTTTAAATGTGTTTATCTTCAAAGGCGTAGGCAAAGATTAATAAATGGGTGGGGGTACTACTTTTGGAGGACAAAAAGAATGAGTGCTGAACTGTACTGGAGGTCGGGGGAGCATGCTTCTTCGAATATTCTTTTGTTATTTTCACTTAACATTTTGCATTTTGATCATATCTAAAGGAGGCTGTTTTGTTGTTGTTGTTGTTTTATATGTTTACTAGCAACATGTTGGACTGAAAACATGACAGATGAGGAAGAGTTTAAAAGGGTTCAGAGATCTCTTATGAACGTAATAAAGAACAGTTTTTAGACACAGTATGAGAAGGGAAGGTAAAGAAATTTTGCAAACTGTAGAAGAAAAGAGCAGGGAAGTCAAATACACGAATAACAACAGTGACTGGATGTAAAATAGAAATACCAAGACAGCCTTTTAAAAGCTATCAGAGATGAAATTGGATGGGGAGCTGTGATCGCCAACGTCTGTTACATATAGACAGTAATAACCCAGCCAAGTGTGGGTATGGGAAGCCAAAATTGTATAAAAATGTTGAAATATTCCCTACTTCAGTGTCTTTTAATATCCCCCTTCTTGCTCAAAGATCCTAAAACAAAATAGCGATAGTAGACCAGCGGACAGTTATCAGTTACCATACCAAAAATTAGGGTAATCGAGCCAGCGAAGCCTGGGTGATAGAGATTAACACACACACACACATATAAAGGATCTTCTCTATAGCAGAAAATTCTTTTTGACTCTACCCCCCAGTGGCACAGCGGTATGTTTGCAGACTTATACCGGGTTTCGATACCCGTTGTGGGCAGAGCACAGATAGCCCTCTGTGTAGCTTTGTGCTTAATAACAAATGACAACATCTTTTGACTACAAATTTTATTGATACGAAACAATTATTTTACATGACTTTATATGTTTCTGGTGTTTTATTTTGACTATTAAATTCATTCATATGAGACTATTAATTTACCTGACTTTAAGTGTGTTATTGATGACTTATTCAGACTATTACTTTATTGACATTAAACGACTACTTTACCTGACTTTAAGTGTGTTATTGATGACTTATTCAGAATATTACTTTATTTACATTAAACGACTACTTTACCTGACTTAAAGTGTGTTTCTGGGGACTTATTTAGACTATTATTTTATTGCCATGAAACGACTACTTCAGCTGACTTTAAATGCGTTTCTGATGACGTCTTTTAAGTACTATATAAAGAAGAAGAATTTAAAGTTAACATTAGATATCAGAACTTGGATATGTGCATAAAATAGAACAAGTTCTAATATACTTTCTCTTCAGCATACGGTGAAATTTAATTACATAAATTTCCCGTTACCATTAACGGGTCCCTAAATCTGCGCTCGAACGCATAATTATTCGATTTTAAATATATTCATTTGTTCCTGTCACCAAATAGCTGGAGACCGTTGCTATGCCAACGATACCTATGAAAGTTTAAAACGAGGAATGAAAGGATAAGCGTTACAAGCTCTTCGGTCCAAGGTACTAAACATATAAGACACTTGAAGTAACGTTCGCAGATAACATAGATTTTATAGCAAAAGTTCCTTCGTAGCTAGATACTTAACTTAAATAATGTTTATGGCACTTCGTGATTACTAGGGTAATGTTTTATTAAATCTATTGTTTCAAACTTAATTTTATTTTTTGCGACAAAGAACATTTCTTAAGTTTTAAATGTTCCGTTTCTAGTCCACCAGAATTTAAAACAATAAATATCTAACAACGAAATTTAGATCAGAGACCAACAATAATCTAAATAATTCCCGTCTAACAGCTGAACACAAGTACAGTTTATGAACATTAATATTAATACCGTTTAACATCTGAACACAAGTCACAGTTCATGAACATTAATAGTAATACCGTCTAACAGCTGAACACAAGTCACAGTTCATGAACATTAATAGTAATACCATCTAACAGCTGAACACAAGTCACAGTTCATGAACATTAATAGTAATACCATCTAACAACTGAACACAAGTACAGTTCATGAACATTAGTAGTAATACCGTCTAACAGCTGAACACAAGTCACAGTTCATGAACATTAGTAGTAATACCATCTAACAGCTGAACACAAGTCACAGTTCATGAACATTAATAGTAATACCATCTAATAGCTGAACACAAG